TTTATATATTGAAGTTTTTATTTATTATAGCTAGGGCAATTTATTGCATTTTATCTACTAAGTAAAATTATTGAAAATATTATTTAGAAATTGATATTTTCACACTATTTTTTGACAATGCCATAGCAATGTAGACTATTTTAATTTTTTAATTTTTTTTTTAACTTTAATTGAAGATATTGATATCTTAGCAATTATCTGATAAAATTTAATTGCAGATCCACATGTGATCGATAGAAATTATATAGTAAATTGCGGCGCTATAATTATTAATAAAAAAATGTTTATTTGAAATCTCTATTGCCTCAAGAATCCGAATGACTAATATTCGTATAACTCCTGGTGAACTTGTTGTAACAGGTACTATTGTACCAGAACTTCACTATGGTCCATACTTACGCGATTGGTGGATCTTTTCTAAAGACAGTCAAAATGTATCATATGCGATTCCATTACGTCTAGGACTTGAAATTATGATACAGCTTAATAAAAGATCTTTTATTATTCGCGTGGTTCGTTATATACATAGTCATTTACAGCCTGGTTATATATGCGAAGGTGATGGGCAAAGTAGTGGTATTGTTACGAGTTCTTCTATGGCAATTACATCTGTTTACCAAGCCGTTTTTGGCACTAAAGCAAAATTTGCAGGTCTTTCATATTTAGGTTTAGAACAACCCAAAACATCTCAAAAATTATTAGAAGGTGTTGTTTTTTATCCATTTATTATTGAAATAGAAAATTTATCTATTTTTGTTGGTTCTCTTGGTAAAATTACACATCCCAATCAAAAAACGATTGGTTACAATTATACATCTTCATTATTTTATAAGTACAAAGCAAAGCAATCGGTTTTTTTTCAAAGTATAAAAAATGATAGTTTATACTCAATTGAAATTTATCAAAATAGTCAAATTATAGCAAAGTTTAATGAAAATTCGCCCAATGCTGTTTGGCATAAAACTGGTGTGCTAAAATCTATTTCGGGGGACACTTTATTTGGTGTAAACCACCCACTAACCTTACAAAAACTCGATCAAACAAAATTTTCCCATCAAAAATTAATGCCTGACAAATGTACATTAGCAGATTGGGACAACAAAATGATTATGGAACATTTCTTTGACTTACACTTAAAAAAAGCGGTTGGTAAATCCATTGAAGAATGGCATCGGGTATTTCAAATTTGGAAACAACAAAAAAGCAATGTAATTGAATTACATACCCACCTTAATAAAGTATACGGTTTGGATCATGAACTTCGGGAACGTGAAGCACGAGCATGGCGAGCGATTTTTTGTGCAGTAGGATGCACAAATATTACTCCATATAACAAACAAATCTCTAAGGTAAAAAAAAAAAAAAAAGAAAAAAAAAAACACTATGTAATACATAAAAATTATCCATTAATCCGATTGTTATCATTATCTACCTTGATGGTAGTAGACCCGGGTTTGATATCTACGTTTGATTTGAGATAAAAAGGTAAAAGACCCGGGTCTATATAATTATATATGATGCTTCTCTTAATGATAGGCTTTCTTTCTTACAGACCTGGGTGTCTAAATTGGTTTAAGAGACTCTGGCTGATTTTGCACAATAAAATACAATAAATTGCCCTAGCTATAATAAATAAAAACTT